CCAGTATGAGAGCCTGACTGACAAATCTCTCTTTGGATAATTTAAGGCTCATGTTATCTTTAACCCTTTTTTGTGCGTGTAATTGCTGGAACCCCAAAATGTTGAGGTTTATCCTGTTGGAAAATCAAGCCACACAGCACTTCTTATGTAGGTAGCTTTAATTATTTAGCCAGCGGGAGCATGAACTTCAGCTGTTTCTATATTGTTAATTAATGTGTTGTTTTAAATGATAATCGTTTTTCTTGTTGAATAGTAAGTATCATTCACCAATACCTGATATTGCAGAGCCTTTGGTCAGATGGATTTTCATACCAGCCCTAATTTTCTTTTTTCAACTGATGATATTTTCCTCTGATTAGGTGGGTTCCATTTGATGCTGCCAAGCCACTGCTCGACATGAAATCGTACATGGTTTTATCTGATTTTGCCACACAAAATGGACAGCCTCTTCCTCCTAGTAACCTTGAAAATTATGAGGAGCGAAATGATCAACAACATTTTCACGGATCAAATGATATTTTTGTTGGTGAGGATGAGGAAATGGATGAATTTAATTATGAAGATTCAGATGAGGAATTGGTTGCTGAGAGCAGTAACATCCATCTGCCCAAAGTAGAAGACAAAGATGTTGGTAGCATTTTGATTGGGTTGAAGGAAGTTCGTCTGAGATACAAAGTAATGCTAATTGACCTGTCACAATAACTTCCCTTTGCGCTAAATTATGTAGTCCTTACTATAGTTGCTTTAAACCGAAAAATGTGGATCACAAATGAAGGTGTTTCTTAAAAATTATGTGCTTTGAAATGAAAAATGACGCACAAATGAGAGATAGAGAAACGCAAAGAAGTATCAAGTTCTGAGTTGGTTCTCCAAGATGGTTATCCCATTGAAAAATTAGGCCTTAAAGATTGAGAGAGTTGATATGCTGCTACTTTTTAAGTCTGCTTGCATGTATTTGCAACTCTTAGCACGAAAAGGATTGCTTCAGTAAGCATACTATTAGGGAAAATCATGCAAAAATATTCTTTACCAGCTGCTTTTACCTGTTTTGTGCTTATTGGTAACCAGGGGCAGAGCCAACCTTCTGGGAGGGGGTTCATCCGAACCCCCTTCGGCGGAAAAAATTACTATTTATACATGGTTAAAATTATTTTTTATGTATATATAGTAGATGTTGAACCCCCTTCGGTGTGTTCGTGTGTTTAGTTCTTCAGATTTTGAACCCCCTTATTAATTGTCCTAGCTCCGCCACTGTTGGTAACTGGGTTTTTTCTTTTTTTTTATAAGGATTTGAGGCAAGCTTTTGGTTCCGGTGAAAGGCGGTATATGGAGACTCAACTGCACAGATACACGAGGGCTGTTGGTGCAGAGCTCTCTGAACGAATGGTTTATTCGCTGGGTTAACTCTTCAATGTGTAATACAATTTGTAGAATTTCAATGCAAAAAGTTCTTGTCCTCATTGGGAATATCATGTCCTTCTCGAGTTGTTGGTAGAGCTAGGGAGCCTGAGACAGCTGCCAGAAGTTGGTTCTTCAACCGTGTATTCCTTGGTGTGTTTGGGAGATTCAAACTAGAGGAGAATTAGTACTTTTAACTGTTCAATTAAGCTTCATCGTGCATTTGTCATAACATAGAGATTTGCAGTTGGTACGTACCGCTCTGCTAGTCGACCTGGTCAAACAAGGATCAGATTTGGGTGGAACTACTCAATATGGTACTTTATTGGAAATCTTTAAGGATTATATGGCTGTCTTTACCTCTTTTCCATGTTTAAAATGATAGCAGAACCTTCTTCATCTAGCGTCCTTGCAATGCAATACTAATTTTAATACAAGGTTCATGAAATATAACGAATATTCACCACGCATCTTATATTCACATGAATAGCTGACTAAGAATATTTGGACAACAATACCTCTAATTGTTATCGGGACGATAGTACCTCCTAAGAGCTAAGAAAGTGTGATTTGAAGCTCAACACCTTTTTGGCGGATCGCCAAGTGTTTTCTTCAACTTAATTTTGTGAGATCAAGAACTTACGTTGATAATCGCATTATGTAGATCGTTGTGAGTGTTTCTTCAATGTAATTCCGTTTATTTGAGATTTAATAATAACTTTCTTTTGTTATCAACATAATCATTTTTTTGTTGTTTTCGTTGATTGAATTGTTTGATTATCAAAACAAAAAAAATGGTACAAAGTGTTTTTCTACTCCACTTGTTTGGTATAGAATGTTCATAGCTCTTCTAGTTAAGGCGCCCAACAATTGAGTTCTGTAGCTTAGGTAAGCATCCGCGAGAGGTCTTGTGGTGCATCCATCTAGAACAACTCTTAAAACGAGCCCCTTTTTACTAATAAGAACGCAGAAGCAAAAAGGCTTGCGCGAATGACGTTTTCTTCTCTACCCTCTCCTCAACAAAGGCCAAGGGGGAGACTGCATCCCATTTCTTTGGTAGCTCTTTTGATTTCCCAAGGTAGCAGTAACTGGGGCAAAGCCTGCTTTCGAAACTTCACAAATGAGAGAGGAAGTCAGAGGAAAAATAACATACGAGCACGGAAGAGTATGGTATGACTTCAAACATGATAGACTGTCATTTTCCATATTATTGAGAGCAAGTCCAATCGTGTAACTCTGAGGAATTCTGATCTTGATATAAATTATTCATGAAAAATTGTGATGAATTCAAAGATGATACTTAGTTATGATTGTGATATGAATTATGCATGGAAAAATTAGGTGAATATGCATATGGTAGATTGAGATTTACAAAATTATCAAGTTTAAGTTTTGATCTTTAATGTCTAACCTTATATAATTCTGAGATGAGTTATACATATGAGAACTTAAGATGAACTCAAACATAATAAACTAAGATTTACTATATTTTCAAGTGTGAGATTAGTCTTGTATCCTTGACTTTCTCTAATCCTAATATGACTTGTACACAAATGAAAATACTAAGGATGAATTTAGACTTGATAAATTATGATATGTTATTTTTTCCCTAAGTTGAGTCTTGTATGTATAGCCTTCTTTGATCCTGAAATTTGTAGCCAGTGAAATAAATCCATATTAAATTTTGGATTAATTCATAAATTCATGATATATCGACCAAGTCAAATTACTGGTTAATAATGTCGAATTAATATTTAAGTCAAAATATATGACTTAAATAAAGTCCAAATTACATTTGGGTCAGTCCATTAAGTTGACAAGACGAGCCCAACTCATGTTCTTCAAACCCAAGGACCAAAATTGCTTGGACAAAAATACCCCTAAAACCCTAGCTCAAGCCTATATAAAGAGGTCTTCATAAGACCAAAAAGAGGAATAAAAAGAAGAAGACACATAGAAATACATAGAGAATCCTTGCTCTTCAGTGGTGATCTACAAGTCTTTCGCATACAAAGAAGTCTTCGCTCCAAGTGTTGAGCCGCAAGTACAAAGAAGTCTTCGCTCCAAAATTTGAGCTGCAAGTATTCCATCAAATCAAGAACATCATTGAATAGAATAATCAGGGGATTACATATCTTTTCTTAAAGATTTTATAAAGATTGTAACCTTCGTATAAATTCAAATACAAATATTGTTGTTTGCTTGCTATTTTCCTTTCTTGTTTGATGTATTTCAGGATTGAAACTTTAGATGCATACAAATTAGCACGCCCAGTGGGACAATCTTTACCTATCATCTCCTCTCTTCAAGAATATCAAAGTTCAAAAACGCCAAGATGACTTTCAAGAAGATCAACTCAAAATCTGCATATGCATCTAAATCCGTATCTACATCTGTATCCGCATCTGGATCTGCATCTACATCCACAAAAACTGATGGATCCAAATTTTGCATTGTTCTAGAAAACATCATTGATATTACTGCGGGGAACATGAGACCTGTCACAAGGAACCAAGCCAAATTGCTAGGACAACAAGCCTTTCGAGTGTCGTTCGAATCTGCTATTGTCTTTGGTTCATCTCCAAAAAGTGTAAAGTCGTCTGCAAAAGCCGCAAAAAAAGACATCGTCGAAATGGTTGAGAGGGTTTTTGCCCAATTGAGTCTATCCACATCTAAAAAATCATTCACTTCAGCCGACAATGATATCTTAAGCACTGGATCTACTCAGCATAACATATTTGCATCTCATGTCATGGAAAATCGGCGTTATTCTCCATCATCTACAATGGTGATGCAAGCGATGGTGATCGAAACTTTCACCATAGAAGAACAACTTGCAAATTTGACAAAAGCAGTTGAAGGCCTATCAAAGTACATCAAAGGTCAAGACGTCCAATTTACCAAGTTGACAAACATGATGGAGAATATAGAGGAAAGAGAATCCACTCAATTATGTGCAAAGCTTCATGAAACTCAACAGAAAATAGAGTCCTTCGCAAAACAAAAAACAACCATCAATGAGTTTCAAGTGTCTGCCGAAGGTTTGATTCCTATTGACAAATTGAAGGAATTCATCAAATAGGCTATCAAAGATAAATCTGAGTGCACATCCAAGTCTCCTCTCACATATGTAAAGCTGTATTCTCAAAGAATTGATAACCTAAATATACATGTTGGCTATCAACCTCCTAAGTTACAGCAATTCGACGACAATGGACATCCAAAACAACATGTAGCACACGTTGTCGAAACTTTCAATAATGCTGGAACATATGGTGATTATCTTGTTAAGCAGTTTGTTAGATCTCTTATAGGAATTGCTTTCGAATGGTACATAGGTCTTAGATCTAGTTCCATTGATAGTCGGGAGCAGATGGAACAACAATTTCTTAAGCGTTTTTATAGCACAAGACGTGTTGTGAGCATGATAGAGATTGCAAATGCCCGTCAAAGGAATGATGAACAAGTCATTGATTTCATAAATCGCTGGAGGAGCTTGAGCCCTAACTGCAAAGATCGTCTTAGTGAAACTTTTGGGATTGCAATATGCATCCAAGGTATGCATTAGGGTCTTCGTTACATATTGCAAGACATAAATCCTAAAACGTTTGAAGAACTAGCAACGCGTGCTCATGATATGGAACTGAGTATGACTTCAAATGGAGATCAAGAGTTGTCCAATTTCGAAACTTACAAAAGAAAAATAATTGACATTGAGGATGATGACAAGTTTTCATCCGAAACCGAAATTGAAGAGTCTATGTAAGTCGACATAATCCTTGATGTACGAGCCTAAACTGCAAATCATAATGCTCATCGACGCACGAGCCTAAAATGCATGTCATGAAACTCATCAAATTTAAGCTAAATTTTCAAGCTCCAAAGCTCCTCAAATTCGAGTTAAGTCTTCAAATCAAAATACTCCTAGCTCATCAAATTTGAGCTAAGTCTTCATGGCATAAAGCTTATCAAATCCGAGCTAAATCTCCATGTCGTGAAGCTCGTTGAGTTCAAGCTAAGTATTCAAGTCACGAGGCTTCTCAAATTTATGCAAAATCTTCAAGTTTCAAAGCTCATCAAATTCGAGCAAAATCTTCAAATCAAAATGCTCATTGACACACAAGTCAAACTATATATATGTCATGAAGCACATCAAATTCGAGAAAAAAAATATTCAAATCAAAATGTTACTCGACGCACGAGCCTAAAATGCATGTCATAAAGTTCATCAAATTCTGTTGAATCTTTAAGTTTCAAAGCTCATCAAATTCGAGCAAAATCTTCAAGTAAAAAAATATTGGCTTAAGTCATCTACGGCCCCTTAAAGTTGTCCGCATAATTCACTTAGACACCTTAACTAGGACTAGTACCTATTAAACACCTCTACCCTCTCGAATTTGAACCATTTAGACACTTTTTGCCGACGTGGCACAAAAAGTGTAATTCACATCTTGGTGAGCGCGTGAAATTAATATTTTAACATTTTTCCTTTTCTTTTTAAATCTTTTCTTTTATTTTCTCATTATTTTTTTTTAACAATAACAATCTTTTTATTTTTCTTCTCTTCCAAGACCATACACCTACTGCAACCACTTTTCTTCACAAATTCATCGCCATTTTTTTTTACAAATTTTCCTACTTTCTTCTTCTTTTTTAAATCTTCTCATTATTGTCTACTTCCATCATCTTTTTTCTGGAAAAAGATGGAGATCACCATCCACAATTTTTTGTCGGAAAAATGGAGATGTCTTCTTTGCCGGAAAAAATGGAAACCATCTACATCTTCTTTGCCGGAAAATATGAAAAATCATTATTCAAATATTTTCTCTCTCCCTCTTCACCTCTCCCCCCAGACACCACCTTGACCCACACCCCTTCTTCCTCACAAATCAGAGTCGAAACAGCAAAAATAAAAAAACAATTTTGAAATCAAAATAAACAAAGGAAGAGTGGATCTTTTAAGAAAACACTATCAATTTAGATGGAAATAATGGAAATAAGAAAGAAGGCATGAAGAGAAATAAAAATGATAAATTCATATGTTATATATGTTAAAATCTCTAATTTTTCTAAATCGAGAATTAACAATGGTGGAACAGTTAGAGAAAGAGAAGAAAGTGAGAGGCTTGCGGTGGGGTGGGGTGGGGTGAGGGGTGTATAATTTCTTTCCTTTTTTTTAGTTTTTTTTTTCAAGTTTAAAGTCTTTTCCTTTAAGATTTTGACTTGTTTTAATTTTAAAATTTATTTCTATAATTATTTTAAATTAAAATGCCATATATTTTTATCTGATTTGCTATTTTGCCACATCATATGCATGTGTATTACACACACTTTCTCTTTTAACTAAGTGTCAGAAAAA